GAGGAATGTCCAAAAATTTGGTCGATTCTCTACACTCAGAGCAGAGACCAGGGATCTGATCGATACTTTACCCTCAAAGGAGAGACTGGAGATCTGTTCGATACTCTACACCCAGAGTAGAAACCAGGGTTATGGTCGGTACTTTAGATTTAGAGGAGAGACCAGGGATCTGGTCAATACTCTACACTCAGAAGAAAGACCAGGGATCTGGTCGATACGCTACACTCAGAGCAGAGACCAGGGATCTGGTCGATACTCTACATTCAGAGGAGAGACTGGTGATCTGGTCGATACCCTACACCAAGTAAAGTTACCAGGGATCTGGTCGATACCCTACACTTAAAGGAGAGACCAGGTATCTGGTCGGTACTCTACACTCAGAGGCGAGACCAGGGATCTGGTCGATACTCTACACTACTAAGAGGAATTCTAGAGACATTTGACTGAAAAGCTCAACAAAATGCGGTAGCAGAAAAACGGGCACAAATCAACACAACGTTACGTTTCGACAGGGCGGCCTTTTTTAAACTAAGTGAACACAAACGTAGCAACGACTAAGAGGAAAGATCAGACGGACATATATTCAAGCTACTAGTGGCACCAACAGAATCGGAACCCTCCGCTGGTTGCCAAAGTTGATTATCGAGCGTTTATGGAAATGTACTGAGTGGGTGATGTCAGTTGTTTGCTCAACACCCAGCACCCCACAACACTTTTTAATGAATAATGTGACCGGTTCTCTATTCTAAGGAAAACATATTTGTTACTGCTCACAATTTGATGATGTCATTGTTCTTTCCGTATTCCTCTGCCTCTCCTCCCCTCCAACTTGTCAATTGTCATGACGAACTCCAGTTTTCTCCTTCTCATCACATGACGAAAGAATGTAGATTGCCTTTTTTCTTATCTAGGCAATTCAGTTCTCGTTGAGAGACTGTTTATTTTAAGACGTCTTCATTACTCTTTTTATCATGACATAATCGACGTTTAGAAATATCGGATTGTTGGTAACAACGCTCGTATCTGTGCTAACACGCTCGTCACCGTGAGATACCCCATGTACTACCTTTTCGATTCTCCAAACTTGCAGGACAGAATACATATTTGTCGAGTACGAGCCTAACTCAGTGTCAACGCAGACACACCCGCTGCATAACACAATTCAGAAGAAAAAGAGCAGCATGCTAAAAAAAGGGAAGTCGTGGATGGGTCAGGTCGAGGACACTAATCAGCAATTGTGCTCTGCTGAGGATATAGAACCTGGGGAAGAATGAGACAAGTGCCAGCAGAATGTTGTACGACCTCTTCTGTTGCATTCGACTAGACAGAAAATGCAGGCAACAATATCCGACTGCTGTGGAGGCGGAGGTTCAGGCCTTGATTTTCGAGAGCTTTCTACAGGAGACTGGTATTTAGATAAAATGATCTGTGGTTCGCCACTTGAGAAGCTCGTGTGCTTTTACGGCTCACGTTGGGATAAGAATTGTGAAGCAATTCTGATGCTTTTGTTTTGACTACTTGTAGTCTGACTATGGAGGTCATGTCAGAGACCAGAGGAATAACATGGCTGGAGACGCAGAATTTGACCTGCGCATATTTTTTCTGTGACTCAGTGAGTGTTCTCAGGAAAAAAAGAGATGAGCTGGAGTCTCTAAGGCTTACGCAAATCAGTTTCATGTTCGTGTCAGGTCAGACATGCGTACAGGGAAATGAGTAAGCTGATAGGCTTGCGGTTAAAGCTGCCGTGGTTGGCGGACGTGCCATGTACAATGCTTATATCCTGAATACTCTACGAGAAGTCAGACGTTTGCAAGAACCAAGTGGCGACCGTGAATCTGCAACCATGACTAGACTGTCAGAGCAGCATGTTAAAAGTCGTGTGGCCAGACGAGAGCACTAAACAGGAAGCCAAAGAAGACAGCGAAACCACCCACTGGAGTGGTGTCATCCGCTGCTACACGCTGCGGAATTTACTGAGGAGGGGAACTGAGCACCTATAGACTGAATGTTTTAATGTAAAATGAGGATAGGTAACTAACTAACTAACTAACTAACTAAATAACGCTCGTCTAGTCTCATAATACTTTGTATTCTACTAGCCTGCGATAAAGGGCGGTATGGAGATTTTTGCGAGTCACTGTGCCCACCTAACTGTTTCAACGGAGACTGCAATTCAACCACCGGTGTGTGTTTGAGTTGCCATGGCAATCGTCATGGAGACAACTGTACAGGTAAATTGTCATGATAGATTCACACCTGAAGCTCTCATCAACATCATGTGCTGTACATGTGTATGAGCTTTGGTTGTATAGTGTCATCGTTATCATGAATTACACCCACGTCGGCGATCAATGCTTGAATGCAACTTGCGATCTACAACATCGTGTACCAGTTACACCCTTCTATGCCATTAGAGAAAGCTGTCACGAATCGTCTCGTGTTATCTGCCTATCTCTTCCTTTCCAGGAATCGCTTCACTCTTCACATGTTCCACTTTTTCTTCTCCTTACGTGACCTTTCTGCTGCATCGGATCTATCCCACTTGCAGGTCCCTTTTCATCCTGGAAGGATCCGGTTTGATTGCTTCTCCAAAGATCAGACTTTCCCGATGTTCTCTGCTGCATAACAGTCTATTTTACAGACCAATGTTCACATCCAAGTATTTCTTAACAGATTAATTCAGTTTTGTTTCAAACTGCAAACCAGAACCATGACCACCCCCCCCCCTCTCTAAATATACAGTTTAAAGAAAAGAAAAATGTCCATATCTGTGGTGAAGAAGACTAAATTAGAAACAGCCAAATCAGATTCCTAAGTATCAAGTTTCAATACGACAGGCTTTCACGTGCTTGTCCTCTAGCTGCACACACATGTTTATGTTTGTAGCAGACTTACAAAGCATGACGACAAAGGTGAGTCAACAGGTTTGCTCCGTGCAAGAATCTCCTTTTTTTTTTAAATCTCGAGCTGCTGACAATCTATGGATTTCGGCTTTTTTTCTGTATAAGCGTCTTAGCGTGTTGGGAAACGAACTTTCAGATTGGCTGGCTGAGTCGGCACCTGTGGATGGTGAATTCGTTCGTGACATGACAGATGTCATTAGGAGCCTTTGGGATTGGGGGGGGGGGGAGAGAGAGAACAGTGTGGACGCACCAAAACAGACCAAAGCAGCTTGACAAAAGAAATAGTGCTGCGAGAAGTGACCACGGGGTGTGGCCGATAATCAAAACTCAGAGGAAAGGTATGACACGTACAGTCAGACTACTGGTAGCATCAGAACTGGAACGCTTGTGAGTATGTCCCGAGTACTGTGATACTGATTCTTCACTTAGCTAAGTATTCAACACCAGCATAAGAAGGTCGTAGCTCAGTGGTTATCTTGAACACTTTATACTGAATTGCTGGAATCCCTGTAAGGGTGAACTTTTTATGATACATATACTGGACTCCTAAAGGTTACCCTTACTCAATGAGTCTGGTAGTGCCGTTTCCAAGGAAATTCTCGAGAAGCAAAGGAATCCAGAATGATGTTTGCATCGTCATTTATCTGGTAACTGTTGTCTACAGAAATAACAGACTAGCCAGCAGTACACATCATGAAGTTTAACAAGTCACTTACTTGTAATGACGTCATCCCTAGATTGGAGTCAATGAATATGCATGTTGTCAGGAGGTCAAAGGGCAAAGAGTTGTTGAGAATTGTTCTCTCTAACAGATATTAAATTCATTTTTTTTTTTTTTTTTTTTTAAGTAGAAAGCTAATGCCCTATATTTGAATGTTTATAATATACTTTCAAAACATTTGTATCGTAATCTCTGATGTCAATTGTTTGAACATGTGCCCCCTGTCGTTAATGATTGTCAGTTGGCTTGTTGTGTTGTTATTAAGCATTGTATATTTCCATGACTGTATTTCCACTGATTTTTGTTGTAGTTGTCAGGGTAGGTTCTTTCATCCCACTCTGTATGTGTGTGAGTGTTTATGTGTGTGTGGGTGTGAATGTGTGTGTATGTGTATTGGTGTGTGTGTGGGTGTGAGTGTGTGCTTTTGTGTGTGGGTGTGAGTGTTTGTGATTTGGTGTGTGTGTCTGCGGGTGTGTGTGTTTGTGAGTGGGTGTGGGTGTGAGTGTGTGTGTTAGTGTGTGTGTGGAAGGGTGTGTGGGTGTGTGTGTTTGTGGGGGGGGGGTGTGGGTGGGTGTCTATGTGTGTTTGTATGTGTGTATGGGGTGTGTGGGTGTGTGTTTATGTGGGTGTGTGTGTTGGTATGTGTACGTGTGTGTGGGGGTGTGTGTGTATAGCCTCTTGGCACCTGTAGTTTGTGTATCTTTGTCTTATTCTCTATAATCAACTGATATGTGTTGGTATGTGTAGTAGCGTGTTTTTTTATATATATAAATGTCAGTGCGTTAAATAGAAACTGATGTTGTTTGCCGTGCATCATGTGTGCACAGAGGATGTGTGTGCACTGGGTATCTAATTACTGTTGTTTGTTGTGTATTATGTACACACAGATGATGTATTTAATTGGTGTTTGGTGTGTATTATGTACACACAAATGATGTATTCAACTGGTGTTTGTGGTGTATTATGTACACACACATGATGTATTCAATTGGTGTTTGTTTGTATATTATGTACACACAGATGTTGCACGTGCACTGATTATTTAACTGTTGCTGTTTGTCGTATACCATGTGCCCCCTTACGATGTACGCGCACCGAGTATTCAACTATTGTTGTGTATCGCGTTTTATGTGTACACACAGATAATGTACGTGCACCGAGTATTCAGCTATTGTTGTGTATCGCGTTTTATGTGTACACACAGATAATGTATGTGCACTGGGTATTCAACTATTGTTGTGTATCGCGTTTTTTGTGTACACACAGATAATGTATGTGCACTGGGTATTCAATTATTGTTGTGTATCGCGTTTTATGTGTACACACAGATAATGTACGTGCACTGGGTATTGAACGGTTGATGTTTGCTCTGCAACATGTGTTGTGCAGACTGTCCGGACAAGATGTTTGGTCCCACGTGTGAAAACACTTGCTCAAGGAGATGTGTGCGCCAAGTCTGTCAAACTGACACGGGGAAATGTTTAACCTGTCGGGAGGGATACTCGGGTGACAGATGCGAACAAGGAGGTAGCATCTGTTTGCAGACCAACGTTTGTTCTTGTTAGTATGCTTAGAGAGGTTTGATCACAGAGTACACCTCTGTCTATCTCTCTTTCAGTATGTGATCACGAAGATACTGTCTAATCACAGAGCACATCTCTCTGTCTCTCTGTGTCTGTCTTACTCTCTCTCTCCCCCCACATCTCTCTGTCTGTCTCTGCATCTGATCAGTGAGGTACACCACCACTTCCCCCCACCCCCCACCTTTTCTCTCTCTGTATCCCCTCTCTCTCTCTCTCTCTCCTCTCTCTCTCTCTCCTCTCTCTCTCTCTCTCTCTCTCTCTCTTATATATATATATATATATATATATATATATATATATATATATATATATATATATATATATATATATATATATATATATATTCATTCATTTCAGTAGCATGTCCCTCGCGGAACCTCGCTGCCACAACAACCCTCCGGAAAACCTTCCTATCCTGAGCAAGATGTCCTGCGTCTGATACACCCATCTGGAGATCATCTGCCACATCCTGCACCCATCTTCTCCTTGGCCTTCCTCTTCCTCTTTTCCCAGGCATATACCCCTCTATTATTGTTCTCTCTAGACTTCCATGACGTTTCAAGTGACCAAAATATTTCAATTTTCTTTGTTTTATTGTCTTTACTAGCCAACCCTCTTCAATATTCAGCTCTTGAAGTATGGATACATTTGTTATTTTCTTTACCCAAGATATTCTTAGAACCTGTCTGTAACATTTATATTCAAATGCATTTATGCGCTGTTCCGCTTGTTTAGTAAGTGTCCAGGTCTCACAGGCGTATGTTGCAATGGGAAAGATGCATGCTCTTAAAAATCTGACCTTTGTAATTATATATATATATATAAGAGAGAGGGGATATATATATATATATTCGAGTAGATGATTGGTTAGTGGTTGTGGGGAAAGGGTTGAGAGAACCAATCCCCTTGCAAATAGTTTATGGAAGGGAGCTTAACCCTTAGCCATTGGTAATTTTCGGCCGGGGTCCCAACACCTCAACCCCAACCCCTGCCTCAACAAAATGTCGGAGGGTTGTCTCAAGCCCCAGGTTTTAGCAGTGACTGGTTTGTATGGACGTTTGTGTGTGTATGTGTGTGTTTGTGTATGTGCTTATGTGTGTGTGTGTATGTTTGTGTGTGTAAATGTTTGTGTGTATGTGTGTGTTTGTGTATGTGCTTACGTTTGTGTATGTACGTTTGTGTGTGTGTGTGTATGTGTGTGTTTGTGTATGTGCTTACGTTTGTGTATGTACGTTTGTGTGTGTATGCTCGTGTGTGTATGTGTGTGTTTGTGTATGTGCTTATATTTGTGTGTATAGGTTTGTGTGTGTATGTGTGTGTGTGACTGTGTGTTTGAAACAGTCTATATCAAACAGATTGTGAGAAATACAGTGTATACCATAAACTTTTGTAAGTGTAAAATTGTTTTTATATTGCGGCGTGCACTTGCACTATTTAGTAGTCTGGCCCATCTTACACGGACACTTACAAACAGACAACATTCACAAACCGACTGTACAGGTATAAGCAGGTATACAGGTTTATTACACTCTAAAACAAGGTTCCCTAAAATGGCAGTTCAGGGACATTTGAGTCCCTTGCTCCTAAACTTTCGCATTTTATAGGTCGACTAGCAGGTCCTTTCTTAACATAAAAATTGTCTTTGTAAGTTTGTGTTTATATTTTGTATATTTTTTTCACCCACATTGTCCATTCATTTATTTATTATTTCGTTCATATTATTTCCAATATTTAAATATTTTTAACTGTCATTCAGTAATTATTGTTATTACTATTTTAAACTAGACTTCTGCCCCTTAAACCCACTACCTAGAAAATTGTAAGACCTTTGGGGGGGGTGGGGGGGAGGGGAGCCACAGCAGATATCCCTCGCCAAATATTTTCTTTATGTCTGCGTGTGTAATTAGAAAACATTATTATAACTATGTCCCTTCCAAAAGTTGTGTGTGACATATTCTTATAACTAAAGCTCTTCTAAAAGTGGTACCATGACACATTAATATAACTATATCCCTTCCAAAGGTTGTGCCCTGACACATTCTTATAACTATGTCCCTTCAGAAGTCGTGCTCTGACACATTCATATAACTATATCCCTTCCAAAAGTCGTGCTCTGACACATTCATATAACTATATCCCTTCAAGAAGTCGTGCCCTGACACATTCTTATAACTATATCCCTTCCAGAAGTCGTGCTCTGACACATACTTATAACTATATCCCTTTCAAAAGTCGTGCTCTGACACATTGTTATAACTATATCCCTTCCAAAAGTCGTCCTCTGACACTTTCTTATAACTATATCCCTTCAAGAAGTCGTGCTCTGACACATTCTTATAACTATATCCCTTCTAAAAGTCGTCCTCTGACACATTCTTATAACTATATCCCTTCTAAAAGTCGTCCTCTGACACATTCTTATAACTATATCACTTCTAAAAGTCGTCCTCTGACACATTCTTATAACTATATCCCTTCTAAAAGTCGTCCTCTGACACATTCTTATAACTATATCCCTTCTAAAAGTTGTACCCTCAAACTTTAACAGATATTTCGAAAACTAATTGAGGGATCGACATACGCTGCTGTTGTCTTTGATCTTTTGATCTTTGTGTCCCCTTTACAATATATATATATATAAATGTCTGTACCGAATATTCGCTTCGTATTCGCTTTAGGGCCGAATAGGGGACCTAATAACTATTCGGTATTCGGCCGAATACTTGCCGTCCGACTGAATACGAATAGTGGTTACCTCACACCCGTTTCTGCATACTCTGCGATAGTTGCTGTTGCCTAAGTCGCTTTCGTGCATTAACTAAGCTGTCTGTGACAATTTACAAGTCTAGTTACTTGTAATAAAGCTAAGAATACTTTCATTCCTAGGTATTAGTTACCACAGACTGACTGACTGAACGATTCAAAAAATAAATTGTTTTTAAATGTTTACTTTTCTGCACTACATTTTGTGAAGTAATATTTCGGCTTACATTTGACATTATGAATGTTTTTTTTAGATATATTTTTTTACGCTATACACTATTCGAAAGTGGAAGAATGGGCCTCAGTTTGAATAGTGGGAAGACAGAAGTAATGGTGGTATCAAAGAAAAGAATTATTCATAAATGTGTAATACAAGTAAATTGTGTTATTTTATGACATGTACATAAATTTAAGCATCTGGGCACATGGATAACATCAGACCGAAGATGCATTACTGAAATAAGAAACAGACTAAGACAGGCAAAAACTGCATTTTATAGAATAAGGATCATCTTATGCAATACATCTTTGTCATTGAAGGTTAGAAAAAGAATTCTTGCTTGCTACATACATCCAGTTTTAACATGGCTGTGAGTCCTAAACAATCGGTAGGCAGTCCAAACAATTTCTTGAGGCCTCAGAGATGTTATGAGAAGAGGGAAAATAGAACATGTGGTGACCACTGGAAAGATTTGTGAAAGGAGGGATAGAGGAAGACAACGAGAGAAGATGCTTGACAGTCTTGTTGCGTGGCATGGAGGTGTGTCAGCACACGAACTGATACATGCTGCAAGAGATTGCAGATAGCAGCGAGACGTAATCACTCACGCCAATCAGCAAGGCACCTGATGATGATAATACGCTATTCGTATTCGTATTCGCTGAATAGTTAGTCCAGCTATTCGTATTCGGCCGAATAGTGAAAACCACTATTCGGTAAAGCCCTTATATATGTGTGTGTGTGTGTGTGTGTGTATGTGTGTGTGTGTGTAAAAGACCCACCTCTGCCAGAACCCGAACCTTGACCTTCCGATCCGCAGGCGAGATATATATACACTCGAATACATGGGAAACGCTCGCCTGTGGATCGGAAGGTCAAGGTTCGGGTTCTGGCAGAGGTGGGTCTTTTGTTTTTAAAAGGAAACCCAGTCTTAGTAGTTACAAGGTACAGTCCTGGAAAGTAAAGACGGCCGGAGTGATGCTGATCACATCACCCACCAAGTGCCGTTTGGTCTATAAAATATAGGTCTAGCCCCATATGCCCAATACGCCTTAAGGCGTGGAAAAGGGTCCTTTACTTTACTTTACCTTCCATGAATACAAATTTACACAGTTACTGCCACAAGTCTTCTACTTTTTATAAGCCGGTCAACAAACAGTACATCAACAATCCAGCTCCCTATTCAAAATTAGCGCCCATTAGTTTTTCGCACAGGTTATCTCCACGACGAGGACAATTGGATATTTTTTGCAAGTTCTTGTCAATTCCATTTAGTGTCAACCTGCTAAAAGTGATGCTTTAAATCGGTGTTTGTCCTCTTCTAAACACACACACGCGCCGCGCGCGCATCACACACACACACACACACACACACATACTAGAAATAAGGCAATTTAAAAAAAAAAAACTCATGTTTACACTATAAATATTTTCCGACAAGAACAAGTATTCAACAGGTTGTATGTCAAATTTGAACAACATACACAGAAGTGAGTTACAGACTTTAAAATGTGGCCACAGATTTTTCTAACGTTAATCCAGTTTCGTCCTTTTGAGGATAAAATTTTTTGTTATTTAAAGCCCCACCCTGGCTTTTGCCAGGGGCCGCAATATAGGCAGGCCATAAATATGGCCAATTGTCTGAACGCGGTTTCCGGGACCTCTCCACGGCGATCCTCATCCACATGGTAGCACTTTGTGTCATCGGGTGTTTATCGCTTGTGTGATGTCCTGGTACGGTAGACAGTCAGTCTGTGGCCACAGATTTTGGAACGGACTAGAGGAAATGACATCACTTTGTATATTCTAAGATCGCCATAGGTCGCTAAGGTTGCTATGTCTGATCTGTGCAGGTGAGAAGTACTGGATGGCCTATGTTCTGGGCGTGTTTGTGGTGTTGCTTATCATCGTGTATGGCCTCTGTTATTTTATCGATACTAAAAGGAAGAGAAAGCCTCCACCAGTGACGCCGCCATCGTCGCCCCCGCAGAAGGCTGAGGTGATCTCAGCGAGCAGTGTTGCTGCGGGAAGCTCCAATACCCTCGAGTCTACTTCTACTTATTCTGACCAGAGTTGATAACCAGACAAGATCATTCTACGTTGTCTTTGTCGTATGGGAATATTGCATGCTTATAAATACATTTTTGTCAATGTGCAATGCAAAACTTTGTTATAGCTTTCTTTTTCATTGTTCATGATTCATTTCAAGATCACCTTCACTGTACGACAGGTATATGGGTAAGTTGCGTGTTGTCCTCATTGACATCCTAGCACGCCGGTCCGGCCTATTCTTGCTACGTCATCAAAATGCAACAGCCGTGTGTTCTCCATGGTAACCGTACCCTGTGCCAGCTCAGGGGCGTGTCTTCTGTATTTGGCCCGCCCCCGGGTTCTACGGGCTTGTCCCCGTGCAATCTCCATTTCCAACAGGCGGTTGATTGTCTGACTCCGTTGCCGCAGTCTCTAGAACACAGCGCGTTCAGTCTGTCTGCCATGTCCATACTTTTTCCTCTACTAACCACTACATATACGGCCAAAATGTCGTCTCTTTCATGACTATATTCAATTTCGTCCTTTTTAGGACGAAAATTTTTGTCATTTGAAGCCCTTCTCTGGCTTTTTCCAGGGGCCGCAATATAGGCAGGCCATACATATGGCCAAATGTCTGAACGCGGTTTCTGGGACTTCTCCACGGCGATCCTCATCCACATGGTGGCACTTTGTTTGTGTCATCGGGTGTTTATCGCTCGTGTGATGTCCTGGTGGGGTGGAAAGTTAGTCAGTCAGTCAGTCTCTTTCATTTCCTCTGACCCTGGCGTGACTATGTGTGTGCAGCCGACATTGAATCTTGAGACGGAACTTTGGATGATGTTTGGATCTTCTTAAGCTCACTGAGTATGTCACTGAGTCTGTCACTGAGTCTGTCACTGAGTCTGTCACTGAGTCTGTCACTGAGTCTGTCACAGCATGCTCTGATCTTCTCCCTAGTATGTTTCTTATTATGTTAACGCTGTTGAAGAGAGAAAACACACCCACTGCTTTCCCAACAACTATGACGTAAAAGGCTACTAATTGGGGGCGGGGGGGGGGGGGGGTTGAAGTTTTGTGCGCCTGTCTGAAAGACGAGGAACTAACATTCTGCACAAAAATAAGCAGATATGTAAAACGGTTTTGCATACGACACTAAGCTATGGAAAGAGACTAAGGTTTAAAAGTGGGCTAACAGCTAGAATGTTTTACCAGATATTACAAATGGGTACTGCGAAAAAGTAGTACTTACACGTACGACCAGCTACCCATCCCTCCCCCCCCTTTTCCATCCGCCCCTCCCCCACCACATAGTCGCCCATCGCGCGGGTGCTTAATGAAGCCTTCTAATTTCCTAACTTTCTATTTCCGTCTTTCTAATTTCCTTCCTTCTAATTTTCTGTTCTCTTAGTTTTGAATGTGAACGCTCACCCCATAGTTTGTATACTACTCACGAGTGCATGTTCAAGTGAACTGGGCCTTGTACCCACAACGTATGCTGTAGTGGTTTTATCTTGGGCAAAGTACCCAAGAACAGAAGGTACTATAAGTCTTTCACAATTCCAGTTTTGTTTTAGCTACACAGTTTCAAAATAAAGCTCCGGATTTTCAGTTCTATAGTAATCTGAACATATAACAGTAAAAACAAGCCAACTACTAGAAAGAAATAGAGTTGTTGTAGCGACTAGATGCTTGCTTACCTGTGGATCGCAAGGTCGTCGGTTCAGATCCTGACGGAGGCCAGAATTGTTTCCAACTTTGACTTTGTCTCACAGGGGGACCAGACTTGAGTGGGTATCGCAAATAGTTCTAGGAAGTATAGCGGATAACGTGACGTTGACCAAATCAACCATTAACTGCCAATTGATCTATAAACAATAGGTATAACCCTATATACCCAGTGCACCCCAAATCGTCAAGAAGGGTCATGTTGCTAAAAAAGACAGGACGGTTACAGTTACTGGAAAACAGAAGTGTTAGAAATCGACGAACATGGAAGGAATTCATACTAGTACCATCAGTTTTCAGACTGATGTTATCAGGGTACCATCAGTTATCAGACTGATGTTATAAGGGTACCATCAGTTATCAGACTGATGTTATCAGATGTAGACGCACTAGGCGGATCCCGAGTAAACAAGGGGGGAGGGGGGGGGGGTTGGCAGAAACTCATCAAAACGATTACCTCCTTATGTCCCAAGGAACAAATCATACGTTCATAGGTTACAACCTAGAAGCCCAATGAACGCATGATGCGCCAATTTCACGTCTCTTTTGACTACCGCTTGGGTTGGTGATGCTAAACCCTCTGGGACTCATAGAGTTAAATTAGAAATATATCGATTTGAGAAGCCATGAGGTAGAAGATAAATTCATCGATTAGAGATGCTAGTGGTGTCGGACAGTATTCTCTTCTTCATCGTCTTCTTCACTTCCTCTTTTACCGCTGTGGGTGTCGAGGGAGATATAAGGTTCTGTTTCTAGCTCTTCTGGCCGCCTCGACCATAGGCACATTGTGCTGTTGTAGAGTTTCTCTGATGTTATCCTTCCATCTTGTTCTTGGTCTAACTCTTGCTCTACGACCTTCTTCTCTTTCCATGTATGCTTTGTATGGTATGGTGTCACAAGGCATTCTCTCTAAGTGGGCAAACCATTTCACTTGCTGTCTTTGTATGTAATCCAGAATTGGTTCTGTGCCGACTTTTTCTCTTATGATCTCATTTCTGATCTTATCTCTTATGGTCACTCCTACAGCCCTTCTCAGACATCTCATTTCCGTGGTTACTAATTTTCTTTTATGGTTTGTTGTGAGTGACCATGTCTGGCACTGGTAGCACAGAGTTGGAATAAATATGCTTTGAATAAGATGTCTCTTTGTGCTGACTGGGATTGTCTTATGCTGTAAGAGGGGGGCTAGCTGTCCCAATACTTGGTTTGCTTTACTGCATCTAATGTTAATTTCTTTATCCAATTTCCCATCTTCGGTAAATGTAGTTCCCAGATATTTAAACTTAAAAGCCTTTTTAATGCCTTTGTTCTCTATTGCTATGTTTAGATCTGTCTTCTATTTTCTATTGACATTACTTCTGTCTTTTCAGTGTTGATTCTCACATTATTTGTTTTTTTATTCTTCATTCATGGATGTTAGATGTTGTTGCAATTTCATCGCTGTATCTGCTATCAAGGCCTGGTCATCTGCAAAGAGTAATTCGTTGATCTTATTAACATTTTCATTAATGGGCTTGGCATTCTTGCATATACTGTCGATGTAGGTGATAAACAGCAGTGGTGATAAGACACACGCCTGTCTTACTCCAGATTTTACTGTGAAGGGATGAGATACTCCCTGATTTATTCTAACTACACTTCTACAATCCCTGTATAAACTTTTGCACACTTCGATGAGGTGTTCGCTTACTCCAAATCTTGCCATTACTTTCCATAATAATTGTCTGTCGACTCTGTCAAATGCCTTCTCCTGGTCTACGAATGCCACAAATAATTTCTTATTGTATTCAATGTTCTTTTCTATTAACTGTTTAAGTGTGAAGATTGCATCTGTGCAGCTTCTATTTCTCCTAAATCCCATCTGTTCTTCTGCCAGCTGTGGTTCTATCACTGGTCTCAGTCTTGTTTCTATTATCTTGGCATACATTTTGCCAACATGGCTTAAAAGAGAGATGCCTCGGTATTGACCGCATTCTCATTTGCTTCCTTTGTTCTTCCACAATGGTATAACTATTGCATGTTGCCAATCAATAGGGGCAGTTTGTTGTACCCATGCTGCATTAAATATTCTGTGAAGCCATCTGATGCTGCTTTCACCTGCTGTTTGAATTATTTCTGTTGGTAATATATGTTGGACTGTATTCAACACACTAAACAGCTTAGACTTCCAAGGATACAGCCGACAGGAGGGACAGGCTGCCAGCCCATGCTTGACCCTTTCTTTCTTCGTCTTATTCTTCTTGTGTCGTCTTACATACCTGGTTGTAGCCCAGTGTCGTGGTTTGTAGTCTCACTGATACCAGGCTGTAGCCCAGTGTCGTGATTTGTCGTCTCACATACCAGGCTGTAGCCCAGTGTCGTGGTTTGTCGTCTCACTGATACCAGGCTGTAGGCTGTAGCCCAGTGTCTTGATTGTGTTGCCTCACTGTTACTAGGCTGTTGCCTAATGTCGTGGTTTTGTTGTCTCACCTATACCAGATTGTAGACCAGTGTCGTGGTTTTGTCGTCTCACTGATACCATATTGAAGCCTAGTGTCGTGGTTTTGTCGTCAAATGTTGTGTCGACTGTACTCTGCTGTATGGGGCAAAAAACTTGATCAGAAAACACGCTACAAGGAAATCGAATTGTCTCTGGAAACCTTATTGATTGATTATTGTCAGGACGGTACCTGATTGACTGATTGATTGATTAAACCATTGTGGAGACGTTTCCTGTTTTATTGTTTTATTGATTGTGAAGACGGTACTTGATTAATTGATTTATTGGTTGTGGGGACGGCACCTAGTTGATTGATTGGTAAATCGATTGTGGAATCGGTGTCTAATTGTTTGATTGGTGGATTGATTGTGGAGATGGTACCTAATATATTGGTTAATTCATTCTCAAAACGGTACTTGATTGATTGATTGGTTGATTGTGGAGGCGTTACCGGATTGACAGATTGATTGTAGAGACAGTTTTAGATTGACTAACTGGATGACTGATTGTGGTGACCGTACATGATTGATTGATTGATTGTGACGATTAAATGATTAATTAATTGATTGATTGTGAAGATGGTACCTTATTGATTAATTGATCGATTGTTGAAACATGATTGGTTGATAATGGACGGTACCTAATTGATTGATTGATTAGGCGTCAGTACCTGATTGATTAATTGATTGAATATTGTGGAGACGGTATCTGATTGATTGATTAATTAATCGTGGAGACGGTACCTGATTGATTGATTGATTGATTGTTAGTGGACATGGTACTTGATTGACTTATTAATTGTGGAGACAGTACCTGCTTGATTGATTGTGGAGACGATACCT